ATCTCTGAGTCTGAAGCTGAATAAATGATGTCAGATAAACAAGCTGGCTCCCTTGTCAGCATACCATCCTGAACATTATCATACACAGACTGCAGCATCAAATATACGGAAGCTGTATGATCACGTTTACACAATATGCTTTTTGTCTCTGAATGGTCATCATTGTCCAGGAGGTCGCAAGGCTAACTGTAAGGCACCTCTAATAACACAACAATCTAAAGGCACACACAGCTTGCAGATCAGACTGTCTGTGGGAAACTAGTTGTTGCTCTGCTTTTTGAAACACTGTGGCCAGTTTTATTGTGAGTTAATTGTATGCATCTCTGTATTTTTTAGAAGCTTGTACAGTATTTGGTTGTGAGACCCTAGCTCTCCAGTCTTTTTTTATATATATTTTTTAACTACTAGGAATAGGGTAGGGAATACAAAAGGTAAAAGGAAATGGGGGGAAAGGGAAAAAAATTGAGGATAGGAGAACACGGAATATAGAATCATCCAAACTATTCATATTTCAATATCGAATCAACTTTCTGCTTTTTAAAAAAACTTATTTGATTACCCTCCACTTATCAACCTACAGTTATATTTTAGTTTAGACCTAAGTTATTCCAACACTTTACAGTTATATTTTAGTTTAAACCTAAGTTGCTCCAACACTTTGAGGAAACCAAGACCATTTGTAAAATATATCCCATCATTCAATTTCCTTTTGATTTGAACAGTCATTCAGCACGCCTGAAAGAGTGTCTCTTTCTGTTGCTTCCCATATTTTCTCAGTACACTCCTCTTGTTTCCGTAGCTCTGCTGTCTTCCAATTTTTGGAAAAGACGGATGAATCCAAGACAGAAATCCAATTTTTAACATAAAATTTTCTGACCATAGTGGCTAAATAGCTCACTGGGTGACTCTTTAACCCATCTATGTTACCTGGTATCTTACTCAATAAAATCAGTTCTGGAGTTTGTACAATTTCATTTGACTGTTGTTTAACATCTGATAACTTCTCTTTCAGCAGATCTTCTATCTGGCTGAGACGCTCATTTATTTGCTGAAATCCTATTATTATTATCTTTTGCCTGGTAGCCTGCCATTTTTCATCTGATTTTTGTGCCCCTATTCCCAAATTTTGAGATTGGGCAGACAAAGTCCCCAACATTTGATATTTTAATTTTTTGGAGGCCATTTCAAGCTTTCCAATAAGTAGAGTCTGTATAAATAGTACTATATCTTTGACCATAGTGGCCAATCCTCAAATATCTTTCCGAAATTTCCACTATTTTATTAATAAATCCAACCGACAATCATAAACCTCCCCTAGGTTCTTCCTCCCATCCTTACACAGATATTATAGTATATAAATCAACTTTTAGCTCAACAATTTAAATTACACCCATGGCAATATTATGAGAGTCCCACACCATCCAGCCAATAAAAATCCAGACTAAATAGCAGACACAGGGAGTCAGTCTTTCCAGTAGATATTCATATAATCTGCCTAATGTTTTTTCTATTAATCCAAATATTCAATAAAAGAAGAAAGTTCCAGTCCTAGTTTTCCTAGCTTCTCAGTCTAGTCGGTTGTGTCATTTCGCTGATGATTCACAGTCCAATTTCTTTCTTCCAAACGTTTATTCCTCCTTCTTATTCCTCCTTCTCCGAAAACCTGGCAAGATTCTGTTATCAGAGTCCCACACAGTCTAGGGAGAAAGATCCAGACTAAACAGCATTCACAAATTTTCAGTCTTTTAAAGCCTGTCCAGTAGTATTTCTCTCTGGTATTTTTTCCAGAAACACAAGATTTTTCAGTTTCACTGTCTCTCTCTTTGGCCTTGAGCCAGCCTGCTGTTTAAGAATCAGTTTAGTTTTGAAGAAGCAGGCTGGTAAGCAAACCTCACTGCTCCTTATCTTCTTTTGGCCAAGTATTTTCACTCTAATTTCTTTTTCATCTTAATGAGGTTGTTCATAAATCAAAGGCGTCGACTTACTTTGTTACTTATAAGCATATTTCTTGTTCTCCTCTCCTCAGTGGGGGGGGTGGAGCTACTCACAGCTATTCTGCCAAGATGGCTCCCGTCTCCAATTTGTGCTCAGGTGAATTTGCAGAGGGAAGAAATATCAGGTTGCCGCCGAATCTTCTTCATTCTGTTGCTCATCAACTGCTTCAGAGAGACCTCTCCTGGTCTCCCTTTCGATCCCCCATTTCTAGAAGGACCCTAGACCGGGTGGTTCCAGCTTTTCCCAGGAGCTGTTCCCGGAAGCTGCCGGCAGCACTGCGACGAAGCTCCGCCTCAAGATCAGCTCTCCAGTCTTGCAAGACTTTTTTTATCTCTGTTCAATAAATCTCACTATATTGTTTGCAAATTCACTGCATGTGTGGTTTGGTTCTCCCCAATTTTTATTCCTTTTCATATATCCAGTTGGTCCTTTAAATTACTTTTACAACAATAACTATCATGTCACTTGTCTCTATTTGGTTGGAGCTGTGGAACCTTGTACCATTGCCACTTTCTTTGCCCCCACCTATCATGAGTGCAGCTGAAGACCTGGAACCAGAAGGGTTAACTCAGGCTGAGGAGAATGCTGAACAATCAGAAACACCTGGATTGCCTTCAGATTCTCCTTCCTCAGCAGACAAGCTTTGGGCCAGGCTTCGGGGAAGACTTATGGCAAAAAGGTCAGAGGATCGCTCGAAGGCTGTCCACAGAAACATCCGTGCAACTAGCCCTGAGTATTGACAGGATGGAAAGGTTTCCAGCAGCTCAAGGGGCTGTTTTGCTATAAAAACAGCTCCTAGTCAGCTAGAATTTCTGTGGAAGCAGCAAATCAAAACCTCTGGCTAGCATCCACGCTCCTACAACCTTGAACCGTGTTCCTGACTCTCGACTACATTGTGTATTTGACTCTGGACTCTGACCTTGGACTACATTTTGTGAGTTGGTACATGGTTAGGTTATCAGCTTTGCATTCTTGGTATTCCTGACCTTGGACTGGTTTATCGGACTTCGACTGTTGTAACCCCCGGGAACGTGACACCACCCCTCTGCCAGCTATTATTTTGCAGATTAACCATGTTCACAGGAACTCAACCAAAAATTGTGGTTTCTTTTCTTCCTGGCCCAGCTCCAATATTACTGACATCTCATACATGTCTGCTTTACTATTGACCCTGAATACTGTACTGGTCCTGGTATGTGCACTGGAAGACCAAAGTAGTTGATGCTTTCTCATCCTCCTCTGTCTGAGTGTGATTGTGATGATGGGCCTATTCCTTTGGTCATCTTTTGTCTGTTCAAATTTCTCATTATCCTATCCAGACTTTCTTGTGGCTAATCAGTCCCTGGTGTCCTCAGGGATTTGTGTTCCATTCTGACTTATTGATTTGAATGGCTGAATGTTTTCAGCTGTATGTTCCCTAGCCGATGTTCTGATGGTCCTTCCAGTTCTCTTACTTACTTGAAACTGCAATGTCTACATGAGAAAAATTGTTCTGATTGGCTGTTCTGAGTTTGAAAGCAAACAAACAACTGTAGGGAATGATTATGATTAGGAGTGCAGCACAGAGAGAGTAAAGATTTCACCACCTCCTTCCACCCCAGTGTTCTTGGGCTGTAATTCCCAGAAGCCTTCACCACCAGCTGTACTGCCTGGGGTTTCTAGGAGTTCCAATCCAAGAACACCTGGTTTACCCAAGGTTGGGAACCACTCTTCTAGAGAACAGCACCTTACTCATATGTGCTAACTGCTGCCATACCACTGAAGGCCCAACAAGCACCCGAGTTGTGGCTGATTGGGAGGAGGATAGCAGTGTGTGAAGATCTGAAGAGCCTCAGGAAAAGAAAAGGGAGGAAAAGGCATAATGTAGAAGAGATGACAGGAATTAGGAGGAGAGAGGGAGAGAACAGCCACAGAATGGAAGGGAGTGGAGGTAGGTGGAAAATGGAAAGTGCCAGAAAGAAAGGCAGCCTTCAAAGAAGACAGAGGAACTAGGCAAAGACTCAAGAGAGATACTGGGTCAGATTACAGACTAAAGCAAATGTGTATGTGATCTGACCCATCTTATAATGTTATGCTTCCAGGTAACATGTATTTCGATGGCACATACCTAAGACGTCCGACATACAAAATCATGACGCCTCCCAGTTGTAAAGGAAAATCACACTAATTTTCCAAATGCATGTTGTGGCAAAGATCCTCTTAGAACACGACACCTTGTGAAGCAAGGTTGTGGGAAAGAATAGTGAAAGAGAGAAAAAATAAATAAAAGAGAAACCGGTGAGAGCATGGGGAGGGTAGTCAGGAGAAATGGAGCACAGAAACTGTGATAGGAACAGAGGGTCCACATCCTTTGCCTCAAGGGAAGGACTGCATAGGACCCCAAGGAATCAGGATTGGCTGTTCAGATTTATTTCCAAAACTTGAGTTTTGGCATTGGAATTTTTCCATGGAGTGCAAAAGTTTTCCCGCTACAGATTTGCCCACATGGGAGGGTGAGTGTAACTTCTGACTGGGATCCTTGAGTTGGGGCAGTGAGGCTTCTGCCTTTCTCTTTTTTTGTGGCCGTCTTCAACTGAACCTGCAAATTCATTTCGCAATGCAGGAAAAAGTATCATTGTATATATATATATTTGCAATGCAAATTAGAGGTCATTTGGTAAGGACTGTGTTGTAGCTGTAAAATCTAGGGGCCTCCAAATGCGGGTGCCACTTGCCTCTATCTGCCTATATACTGGCAGGCCCTTGGGGAGAAATCCCTTATGCTTAAGGGCAGAATTGAACAATCATGCCCAGGTGTAGTAGGACCTGAGTATCCCACTGCTGTCTAACCTTGTTAATACAACATCCCAAAGGACTATTTGCTTGTCCGATATGAAAGTCAAATGCTTTGGAACTTTAATTTCCAAATTTTTGTTTCTCTTCAGACAGAAGGAAATTTTTGCTGTAACCAAGGAAAGCCATTCGCGACTAGGTTGTAATGTAATGTGTTCTCAATCTTTCATCAGGACTTTGTGTCATGCTTAGAAGAATATAGAAGACATGGTCAAGAACTCTATGCAATTCTGTGTAAGGACCATGCTGAGGTAAGGACCCTAAAACCTATCCTGCTAAAACCTATCCTGCAAATGGTTGGATCCTGATCACCTAGTTATCTGAGATAGGAAGGGTGTTGTTTTAAATTACAGGGTAGATGCAGTTTTGAACATAGAATCACTGTATTTGCAGTTTCCAGGGCTACCTGAACAGGTAACCTCAGCTAATGGAGTATTAACACAGTTTCTTGGAGGCCAAACAACATGGCTTCATTGACAACATGGTCATCTGGTTTGTACTTAGGGAGACATTGTGTACTAAGATTAACACAAGTCTGGTGGTTAATGATAGTTGGATAAATGAGCTAAAATCTGCAAAGTGAGGAAAGGTACTAAAGCAGAATCTCATCCAAGCTTGCCATTCCTAAAATTCCCGGCTCTACAGGTATCAGAGCTGGGCATGTGTTTTTTTTTTCCATCCTTCTGCTCCATTCATGTTTAAGTTGCTATCTCCTCCAACTTGAACATAGATGTTGATCGATATTAATAAATAATGCCCAATAGCAATTGCAGGGACAAACATGAGGTTTCTTTTCACTCATTATTTGAATAATACTACAATTTTAAATAGATTTAGCTGGAACAATTCTTATTGAACTCAGTGGCCTGATTGACTACTGAAGAGAGGAATAGACATGCATTACAATACCGTTTTAATCAATGTTTGAAAATGTCTTGGGTTGTGTATGTGTACATTTCCCACAACAGAAATCTCTCTTAAGAAAACTGCTTCTGTTCTGGAATCTAGCCAGCCTGAAACAGGAGTCTTGTGTTTCTATATGATGGTAACAACCATGGTGGGGGTGGTATTTTTGGGAGGGAGGGGATGGTAAAACTATATATATTTTTTTCCTTCCCATCCCCACTGTGGTCTCTTCTTGCTGTGCTAAAAGGCAGCCTGTGTGGCAAAAACACTCTGCCCATCACCTCAGAAATCTGAAACATGAATCACACAAAACTAAATAGTTAAGCTGATGGCATGGTGTGAGGCAGCTTATCGTGTCATCATACCTTTAAAGCTTCTAGGCAACAGGCTTTTGATGAGGGGGAACCATAGTTTGGTTATAGAACACATGCTTTCCTTGGAGAAAGTCCCAAATTAAATCTGTGGTCTTGACAGTTAAATGGTTCAGGTAGCAGGTGATAGAGAAAGGCTTGGCCAGAGAACATGAAGAACAACGCCAAGTCCAAATGAGCATGCGGTTGGCCCAGACTCAGCATGGTCTTTCCCGGCACGAGGCAGAATCCAATGTTATTGGTGGATGCAGGACTGGAGCCTCAAGTTTTACATATTTGTAATAGGAGTGAGGGGGTCACTAGCAGTGGAAAAAAAGTTGTTTCCTCATTCTGCACCTTGACAGCCACCTGGAGATTTTTTTTTACTTCATTTGTCTCTCAGTTCTTTTATCCCAGCAGACTATAAACAGTTAGGGCCAATTGTCTGTTCTTTTAAAAAAAAAACCCACCCCTGGGTTTAATTCTAGTGGTGTTTCTTCTCTCAGTGGAGACTTCTGTCTCTCCCTTCCATGCTTCTTAGGAGTTCACAGGACTATGATAAACTAAAAGAGATTTCTGCATCTCTACATCTAGGACACAGAAGTTAAGTTATTGGTTGTGGGGCTGCTGGCATACCCGAAAAATGACAAAATTGCTTCCCATGCCTCCTAGATTTGCAATGAAATTCGAATTCTTCACAAGATTTTTTTTACTACTATTTGAATATTATTTTCAATTTGGGAAAATGAGGTACTGGAGGGAAGGGATGCTGGGGACCACATTTAGGTCTCTTGGGCAGGTCTCTTGGGTATGTGGCCCCTTGACTGTACTTTGCTATGCTTGTTTTAGGAATACATAGACTTCCATAGTAAAATCCAGAGCTAGATACACATTGTCCCTTTTCAAGGTACATTAGTTTTTTTTATTAGTTTTATTATTAGTTATTAAACAATACATGTGTGCTGCCTATATGGAATTGAACATATGCATCAGTGGCTTTACTACTTCTAGTGCCCTGGTATTCTTTGGCAAGAGCCCTCTGGTGCTATGGGTTTCATATATCTCAGTGAAATCTTTGAATAACAGAACCAAAGAAATAAGACTGAAACACATGTTCCTTTCACCACAGAGATTACTATTTGCTTACAATAAATCAGCAAAGGCATGGACAAACCTTGAGGAGCAGCTTTTTGGGAAAGGAGGCCCCTGGGGGCCTGTCTTCATTTCTTCAAAGTGGATCCTGGATGGGTATGAAGGCCCTGCCCGGATGAGGAAGAGGACTCGGTTGAACATCACCTGTCCTACAGCTCTACCAGTGAGAAATAAGGTAGCATGTTTTTCTGCCAAGGGGTAATCAAAGACTCTCTTGTCTCTTTTTGCTCAGTGTTTTTTAATATTGGCTTTCAAAAATCATCAAGAGGTAACTCCCCTTATCTGAAATGTTGACATCTCCCAACTGTGGCCCACTTAACTATTAGCAACCAATGTGAAAAAGAGGTCAGACAGCTTATCACAAAACAGATGTATCTCAGCATGCCTCTTAAAAAAGCATCTTGTGATTGCAAAAAAATGCATTTAAGAGAATGAGACATTTGTGAGAGAAAAACCTCAGGTTAATAAACCATGGTAAGTGCTCTCTGTCATTACCTCTCCCTTTCTTCCTCTTGGTTTTGGCAAATTTAGACTGTGGTTTATTTAAAGCATTGTTTCCCATTTCATCTAAATTGGAAACTTCCCTTTCTTTCTTTGCCCTGTTTTTCAGGAGGAAGAGATGTTTTTGAAAAGGAATGACTAGAAAGAAACAAATATTGACTTGTCTTCCAGCTATATGATGTGGTCTTGATCCATATCAAGACCATGCTTGCTCATCTCAGCTGCATTAGCTTCAGGTTACTTTAGAAATGAATTAGGCAACTTCCAAGGGTGTTGGGAATGCCTGTTAGTGGTTAAAGCCACAGCTATATCTGGAAAAATACTAAAAGAGAGGGAAAGATGCACTATTTGTTGGAGGAAACCATGTCACATGAAGGGTGCTCTAAGTAGGCCTTTACATCTGTATTGATGATATCTTGTTCTCTATTTCAGTTGAGCAATTTCCCTCTTCAGGCTCACCAGACATATGAAAATGCATCTTTGCCTGAGAAAAGTCAAGGTAACCTTACAAGAGGGATGATGGCATTGGGTCACTCTTCTAAGGCATGGGCTGATGTGGAACAGGCTTGCATCAGTTCTGCTTTGAAAAATCCGTTAGGCAGGCAAATGGCTCCTAACAATATGGTGCACCATTATAAATCGAGTTCATAACAGACAAAAAATTTACATAATAAGTTACTTGGTTAAGATAATGCCTGGTCTTTTAAACACTCTTGGATGGTGTTGACATAGTCTAGGAGCGAATATGAATTATTATTAGCTAATACCTATGAACTGATAAATCTCTGGTTACTGTCTTGTCTCTGCTCTCAGTTCACAAAGGGGCTAACCTTGCTTCAGTCTTCCTACAAAACAGGAGTAGGGAGTATTGACTTAATATTACAGTATTGTAATGAGATAATATTTCTGAAGTGCTTTGAACACTAGGAAAATTTTCAATATTATCAGTAAGGAACTAACTCAGCACTCATGACTAAACAGATCAGTTGGACACCTTTTTCCTATAAGGAGCTTATGCAAGGAGAAAGGAGAAATATTGCAAGGTAATGAATGGCATCAATGTCAAACAAAAGCTGCTATCTTTCAAATGTTTACACTATTACATACATGTATTTAAAAAAGTTTACAACAGCTGCATAGTGTCACAAGTGTAAGTGTTCTTTGACTTGGCAGTGAAATATTGGTAAAATTGAGAGGTGGGCAAATCTGAAAGTCACCTTTACTTGGCAGTGGGTCAATAGTCAGACTAATCAGAGGGTGTGTTCTGTTGGATTTCCTCCTATATTTCATACTCATTGAAAAGAAGCAATTAGTTTTGACAGCTCTTCAAGCAGCACCAGTCAAGCCTATGTAAATAGCCAATCTAACATGTTGGTCTTTTTTTTTAAATGGGGAAACCATAGGGCTTTGGTGAACTCATTTTCCTCCTTTTCTAAGGTTTTTATCTTATTTAAAATATTTTACCTTCCTTTTTTCCTTAAAAAAAGGACCCAAGGTAGCTTAAATCATTAAAAAGCAGTCATTATTGCAAAAATAACAACAACAGTAAGCTATTCAAATATTTTTAAAAGGATTAAACAAACATTATATTGAAATATTAGATAAAAGCATTACTAAAACAGATTTTAAAGCAATAAAAATACAAGCAATTGTATTTTTGAAAACCCCTCTTAGACAGCCAGTCACTAAGGGAAAACTCTGCCTGAACAGAAGGGTCTTTGCTTGCTTGTAGAAGGACAGCAAAGAGGAGGCCAGTCTGGCCTCCTATGGGAGGGAGCTCCACAGCAATAACAAACAAGGGCCTTTCCCATGTCCCCACCAATGCGTTCCATGAAAATAGAATGAATATAAATATTCCTGAGCTTAAATATGTTTTATATTGTGGAACACACTGATATGAATAGAGCAGAATCTTATTTGGGGAGCTATGCGTTGCAGAAACATAGAAATAGAGCATAATGGAATCGGAAGAGGCCAATGAAGCCATCAAGACCAAGCACCTGTTCACTGCAGAATCCAAATCAAAGTATATCTGAAATAGTTGTCTAATTTTCTCTTGAATGCCTTTAGCATCAGAGCACTCACCTCCTTCCAAGTTTATTGGTTTTATTGTTTTACTGCTCTATCAGATAAGAAGCTTTTCCCGATATTCAACCCAAATCTGGCTTCCTGGAACTTTATCCCATTATCATGTGTTCTGTGCTCTGGAAAAGTTGAGAACAGATCCTGCCCCTCTTCTGCATGACTACCTTTCAAGTATTTGAAGAGTGCTATATCAACCCTCTTTCTTCTTTTCTCATAGGTAAACATGCCAGGTTGTTTTAGTCTTTCCTAGGAGGGCTGACTTTCCAGTCCCCGGATCATCTTTGTTGCCCTCCTCTGAACTTGTTCTAGTTTATTGGCATCCTTATTTAAGTGCGGTGTTCAGAACTGGGCATAGTATTCAAGATGAGGCCTAACCAGTGCCAAATAGGAGGGCATATACTTCTATTAATGCCTAAAATAACATTTGCCTTTTTTTCAGCCACATCACGTTGTTGGCTCATATTCAGCTTGCGGTTTACAACAACTGCAACATCCTTCTCACTCATAGTATTACTGAGCCAAATATCCCCCATCTTGTTAATGTCCATTTATTTTTTCCTCTAGGTGTAGAACTTTGCAATTATCCCTGTTGTTTTCAGCCCAGTGCTCGAGCCTATCAAAACCTTTTTGAATTTTGTTTCTGCCTTCCAGGGTATTAGCTATTCCACCCAATGCTGTGTCATCTACAAATCTGATAAGCATTCCTTGCACCCCCTCATCTAAATCATAAATTAAAATGTTGAAGAGCACTAGACTCAGGACTAAGCCTTGTGGTACTCTGCTTGTTACCACCTCCCATTTTGAGAAGGATCCATTGATAAGCACTCTCTATGATTTCCTAACCAACTGTGTATCCACCTGAGAGCTGTTCTTTATAGCCTGCACCTAATTAGCTTGGTAATCAGAAGATGATGGGGCACTTTGCCAAAAACTTTGCTGAAGTGAAAATATATTGTGTTTACAGTATCCCCACCTTATATTCTCATCTCTAGTTGCTGGATACTACTGATAAGTGTTGTATGCTAAAAACATCTGTAAGTTCTTTCCTGCCATAAAGAAACCATTTAATGCATGTAAAAAAAATGGTACTTAAGTTCTCTGAAGACTAGTTGTGCTGGCTAGGATTTCTGGGGACATCTGGGGATCCAAAGTTGGGAACCACTGGTTCACCGCAAGGCAGATGGCATCACCTAGAATTTCATTCAGTAAATCTGTGAATCTGAGGATGGATAAGAGTTTGGAAACAACGCAATTTAGAATGATACTTTTTGGTCGTAAAAACCATGAGGAACAAGAGTCACTAATAATGCCCCCACTAGCAGCTTCCTGATTATAACCCAATTCTCCAAAATGTATAGGTCTCTGTGCACAGATAAATTCTTGGCCTGATCTTGGCAATACTGTGGGCAGTCTCACTTTTTCAAGTCTCTATTGCTTGATAAGTCCACCATCATCTATTTTATTCAGCTTCAGCCAATGCTTGAACTAAAGCAGCTCAGTTTCAAGCCTATGGATTGGTGGGTTTAAAATATCCTAAGAGGCTGCTCAGTTAGAGTGGCAACTTGTTGGTCAGAAGAGTTGTTTGCTGCATTTCCCCAAGTCTTTCAGCAGAACAAATCTTTGATTCATTTTGCTAAGAAGTAGAGATGGACATGAACTGCTGGTTTGGAGGTTTGTACTAGTCCATCCCTTGGACAAAAGGTGGTGTGTACTTCGCAGCCTCAGAGAACGCTTGCCTGAAGAGAAAGGTCCTTCCTGTGAAATGACAGCAAAGATGGGGCTGGGCTGGCCTCCTGTGGGAGGGGGTTCCACAGCAATAACAAACAAGGCCCTTTCCCATGTCCCCGCCAATGCATTCCATGAAAATAGAATAAATATAAGTATTCCTGAGCTTAAATATAATTTATATTGTGGAACACACTGATATGAATAGAGCAGAATCTTATTTGGGGAGCTATGCGTTGCAGAAACATAGAAATAGAGCATAATGGCTTCATTGGCCTCTTCCAATTCCATCAAGACCAAGCCCCTGCTCACTGCAGAATCCAAATCAAAGTGTATCTGAAATAGTTGCCCAGCTCTACAGAATTAATGCTGGTTAAGAACTTTGATTAGGTTAAAAATGGGCAGTCTAGCATATGAACTTCATGATCTTAATCCTCAACTCCTAGCTGGTGTGGTATCCATATTTATGTGTGAGCATATATATTATGTTGTCCTGTAAAGCAGTGGTCCCCAACCTTGGGCCTCCAGATATTCTTGGACTTCAACTCCCAGAAATCCTAGCCAGCAGAGGTGGTGGTGAAGGCTTCTAGGAGTTGTAGTCCAAGAACATCTGGAGGCCCAAGGTTGACAACCACTGCTCTAGCAGATCACTATTCATTGGCTGGAAAGGTGCTGCCACTAATCATGTTTTTCTTATTGATACAGAAGAACTGATTCTAAATGAAGGAAAAAGAGAGATGGATTGTGATCAGCTGACATTCTTTCCTAGTCTATGTGAAAGTTTTAATTCAGAAGAATTGCTGGAAGTCTGCATGGAAAGGAATATAATCCTGCAAGAATTTGTAGAGGATGAAAAGGTATGATGAACTAAAATCCATGTTGGACAAAATCCACAAAATTAAATGAAAGAAGAAAGTGCCTCTGATTCTATTGAGGATCAGTCTAAAGAAGCAATGTATCATATGGTAAAATTGTTGTTCACATGAGAGTGTAGTTGGGAAGGGTGTAATCAAATTTGTCCAAAAATATCTACATAAAACAAACCCATTACCAGGGCAATAATTGAGTATTTCAAAGCCTCATACAGTGGTGCCTCGCTTTACGATTGCCCCACATTATGTCGAAACCACATTACAACTATCTTTTTGCGATCGCAACATGTATGTGCCATAACATGTGCCTCAACATTTATTTTCGCATTATGACGTTTTCGTTCTACAGCGATTTCGCTGGGAACGAATTAACATCATAATGCGAGGCACCACTGTAATCCAAACTCGGGACCCAACTCTAAAAAACCTCAATGTGTATGTGCCATAAATGGATGATCACAGGTTTAGTGAGAAATACTCTCTTCAAAGTACAAGTTCCTGATCCGTCCAGTTAATCCCTCGCCTAGCGTAAATCTCATAGAAATTATAATTGCAGATTTTAGGCACAGGAAGGAAGCGTTACTGGTTGGTTTCCTTGTTGAAATTTCACAATGAGAAATGAGCAAAAAATTGCTTACATGTATTTTGGCATTTAATGAATAGGAAGGAAATCATTATTCTATTGGTTTGATCTAATAAAAAGATTGCATTCAACTACTGTAGTATCACATGTTTCTCCATCTCATAGAAATTATAATTGCAGATTTTAGGCACAGGAAGGAAGCGTTACTGGTTGGTTTCCTTATTGAAATTTCACAATGAGAAATGAGCAAAAAAATTGCTTACATGTATTTTGGCATTTAATGAATAGGAAGGAAATCATTATTCTATTGGTTTGATTTAATAAAAAGATTGCATTCAACTAGTATCACATGTTTCTCTCCTTCACTAATAATAATTTTCATAACCAGATTTTTATTGGCTATACTTTTTCTGGCCAAAAAGAATGATGTACTGTTGAGCTTGGGCTTCAGTGTTCTTGTAAATGAAGACAGCATAATTAAGCTGTACCCAGTAAAAGTGGAGGCTTGTCACTTCTGTGAGACAAGTTTGGCTTGCCTAGTTTATCCCTATAATCTAGCTGTCAATGTTCAGGCTTCCTCCATGCTCTGCGTAACTCTATAGGAAGCCATCAGCCATGTCAGAAATATTTATTTAACAACAGCAAGGTTGACAGAAAATTTTAAAAAGCTGTAGGGGGTAACACCAGCTGTTCTATGCCCAGTTAGCATGTTGATTCAATTTGTCTGCTGACCACAGAGGAGGAACATGGAAAGAGCTTTGTAAGAGCACTGCCACCATCCAGCTGCTTGGCAACCTTAATCTCTAAAACAAATAGATGCATTTGTTTTGAAGTCATTGAAGTTTCACTTTTAGCCAGAAACATGTGAAACTGCTCATGGCAGATTTACTCAGAAATCGACAATTATCAGGTGACATGACAGTTTTTGTGGGATTTTTATTATGAGGCAAATTAACTGACTGGATTAACATCTTGTATTTTGAAGAGACTATTTCCCATCACATCTGTGTTAGTACCAGTTTGTTTGCAGCATACACACATGATTACTTCTTCTCTGGGTTATGCACTTAGTTTGGGTGATGATGATTTTAAAAATCTGATGTGATTTGACAGGGTAGGAAATTGTCCCCTTCTTTACAGAGATGGAATTAGAAGAATTAAAACAAAGTGTCTGCAGTAACTGGGTAGATAATTGAAATAATATCAGCTGTGGGTCTGATGGCAATTTTTAGAGTTTATATTTTAATTGCATTCTAATTGTTTTGACTTTTTATTGTATTTTAAATGTTGTAAGCTGCTCGGAGACCTTTGGGTGGTGTGGGCGGCATATGAATGAATGAATGAATGAATGAATGAATGAATGAATGAATGAATGAATGAATGAATGAATG